TGAGATAGGGCGTTTTTGAACCGGCGGCTGAGATAGGTGCCGTTGTTGAACAGTTTTCTAAGATAGAGCGATTTCAAACTGTCTGCCGCGAGAGGTCGATATATTTAATTACTAAATCTAATTTATTTTAACTTCACGAAAAAAAAATAATTTTTTGGAAGACGCTGTAAGACTCATGAAATTGTATCAAATTTTAGTTCGTTATCTAATCGTAGATACTATTTATGTAATATGTATAATGCCGACAAGACTTTTCATCCTTAGAATATGTCATTTGACTTTGTGTCTTTTTTAATGTGCAATGTGCTCTGTTTATTTGTAAACTTTTATTTTTAATTACGCAAATTGCTTCCCTTTATAAAATTGTGCAAATAATTTACAGAGTTTGTTTTTAATAACAACCAAAAAAACTGCATTTAGATGGTTCCCTTAAACTCGAGAGGCTGGGGAGCTCGAAACTGAAAAAAATATCGCATAAAATTTTTGGGACTTCGGAAGCTTTCGAAGCTTGTACGAGTTAAAAGAAATCTATTAAAAGATAGGAATGTTCCCTTAAACTGGATAAAAACCTCGAAACACTAAACACTAAAAAACAAATTTCAACGAAAATCTGGAGAACTCGAAGCTGAAAAATATTTATCATAAAACTTTCGACTGATTAATAAAATTTTTGGAACTTCGACAGCTTTCGATACTTGTTCGGGTTAAAAGGAATCTATTTAAAGATAGGCACGTTCGCTTAATTTGGCGAATAACCTCGAAAAACTCAAAACTTGAAATGAACCTTTAACATTTTTTTTTTCTCAAGTTCAAAGGAATCACCTAAATGTTTTTTTTTATTATTAATTAATGAAAAATAGTAAAAGAAGTAGAAGAAAATACGTAGAAAGAAATAATAATGTGTATGTACTGTATTATGTATATGTAATGCAATTTGAATAAAATAAAAATTAAAAATTTTAATTGTTTGCCTATTATACTTAAATAGTTGGAAATTATATAAGAAAACAAATCAAGCAAGAAATATATTATTATACAGAACAAAAATTAATATGTGTATGGTAACTACAGCTACAACTCAAAACCACCCCACCCCGTAACCCGCTTATCACGAAAGAATCAGAAACCAGCAAAACTGAAAGAAAAAAAAAACTTTAACAGTAAAATGCATCTGAAATTATACAAAAAAATAAAAAAATACAAAAACACAAAACGAAAAGGCAACTCACACAAAAGCCATTACATACACACGTACATAAGCTCATAAAACTGGAAAGCCCAAATAAAGCAAAAAAAAAAAGACGAAAGAAAACTCAACAACAACAAAAAAATATAAAAAATAATTTTACAGTAACGGCTAAAATTGTGCGTGCACACACACTGTAAGTAGGGCCAGTAGACAGTGAGTGGCGCCTTCGAAAGTCCACAGACGACGATCGAGCAGCGCACTTTTACGTGTAAACACGAGTAGTAGTACTATGTTCGTGAGTTAAGCAACATGAATATGTGAGAGATAAGTACAGTATCTTATTTTAGGTACATATTTGAACATTGAATATCATTGACTGAGAAAATAGAAATACATACGTTTAGTTTTTAAGTATAAGTATGTACTTATAAATACATTATTATTATGATTAAAAATAAATAAATAAATAAAATAATTATAAATATGTATGAAAGAATATTTCAATAAAGAAATGACATAAACTACATAAATAAGGAGTAAGTGAATTAAAAAAAAAAAATAATTGAAAAACAATGGCGGGGAAGTGAGTTAAAATCGCAGCAAGAGCGGAGAAGGCACAGCAAAATTGAAAGCGGCATAAAAAGCCGTAAATTATGGTTAATGTTGATAAGGTAAAACCAAAAACAAAACAAAAAAAAAATCAACAAAAAAAAAGAACACAACAGTAAATAATTTACGTAAAGTTTAAGAATTAAAAAAAAAATAAAAATAAAATGAACGAATAACATTCTCATCTAAATATTGTACATATAAATAAGTACAAGTGCAAGTAAATAATAAAGTAAAACCACAAAAGATAAAAAACAAATAAAGACAAAATAAAGGAGCTCTGCAATAGCAAAACGTCTTTTCAATCACATTTTTGTCTGTTGTAAATTTCAAGAGGTTCATAGCTAAAATAAAGTATGGCATTTACAAGTATTTTATTAACAGTTATCTGCCGCGCGTTCCCACATCTCGCAATTCATTGAGCGCGGTGATGCTGAGATCGAGGGTTGGAAAGGAATGCCTCGCAGCAGCCGTAAACAAAGCTGGCGCCATATTCAAGGTCAGCCTCATATGGGTCCCGGGACATAGAGATATTGAATGAATATCTAAGGCCGATGAGCACCGACCCTTTAAACCATTTTCTGAGTGCTCAGAATTTATGAGCCTAAAATGAGTATTTCTTTCATCATAAACATGATTCTGAAGCCAGTCAACCACACTGACCGCTTTCGGAGTTCTTTGCTGTCATAAATTCTGAGTTGAACAAAAGTAACAAAATTAAGGCAGAAGTTAAAGTTTTTTAATAATCAGAATTATAAAGAATTTTTGTTTTTAAGATTCAGAAAGCGTCATATTTCAGACTCGTAATAAGACTCCGAACTTAAACTCATATTGGCGTGCCCTTCTAATTTTTTCTTGAACTCATAATGAGTTATAACTCAGAATTCTGAGACTTTTTTGACTCTAAAATGAGTCGGAATGTTTGTAGATAACAAGGCGAAACCATATAAGGTGGTGTTGCTAGAACAACTGCTTTAATTTGCCTCGATACACAGATGTCAAAACTTCCTATAAGTGAGTGCGAATGTGAGAGTGTTGGAATCTTCTTCAGTTGGCGTATCTACTCCTCATATCTCAAACGACACCAATCACTTCCATGTATGCAAGTGCATGAACTCAATATACTTAAGTCGGCTTTACATGGGTCCATTTCTATCGAAAGGAAAATCTACTGGACAAATCATTTACAATTTACGGTTAAATCGCTATTTACAGGGGTCGATTTTGGTTGAACGTCAAAAATGTACTAGAAAATCGACCCGTGTGAAGGCAGCTTTAAACTCAACCATGTAAGGGACTTTCAAATTTTTTTAACCCCTTTCAAAATATTTTCAAACTAAAACTGTCGTAAACCTATTTCTGGTGATACATTTTGAATTAACTTATTCCCTGAATTCAGCCAAACTTGGGTTTTAAACCAGGTGGCAACCCTCGTACATATAGTTTAGCCTTTGTGAAGCCTTTTCAAAATCATTGCGATTGATACCTATATAGTAACAATTCATTAAAATTCTTTAATATTTGTAATTTAATTTTTTAAAGGTGGCAACCTTCTTAAACCTCTTTCTTCTGACACCCATTTTGTGATACCTATATGTAATTCTACTTCAAACAGATGGCAACCCACCTAAATGTATTTAAGTTAGAAATAAAGCCTTTCGACTGATACCTATATTGCAATAATTCATTTAACTTATAAAAAAATTTATATGAATTTAGTATTAAAGCAGCTGACAACCCTCTTCAACCACCTCGGACAATTCCACATGCTCAAACATGTTGTAATAAGTCATTTAAGTTACTTTAATTGAATTTTTAAACAGGCGGCAACCTTGTTAAACACCTCAATAATATTTGAAATGTTCAAACCAAAGGTTTCCTATCTTAACAAACTTTCGTTTGACACCAATATTTTAACTTTTCATATAGCGTGCGAAAAATAAATTGAAATTTGACTTTTCATACAAGTGGCAACCCTCTTCAAAATATTTGTAAAATTTCAATTAAATAACTCCCTTAATTTAAGTTGAATTTGATTTTTTTAACAGACGGCAGCACTTCTCCATGATATAAATCTCATTTTTTCGATCAGAAGGTATTCAAATCGGTCATAGGATTGCAATTCTGAGTGACATAAATTAAAATTGAATTACTTATATAATGATAAAAAATATCAATTAGCGATAATCTCCCGTCCCTGCTAAATGCAGCAAACTTTCAAATTCACCTCAACAGTGGAGTCTAATGTTGGTTGCGGCCTACATTCCCCACTTAAAACAACAACTGCACCAGCGGAACGTAAAGAGCTACATGCCATTGCATGATTTTAGGCGCACTGGGCACTAATCGGCGAACTATGGCCAATTCAAAAGGCAATTTTTTAATAAGAACGTGTTTGAATCGGAAACAAACTTCTATGGGCAAAGCTGTTGTTGTCGCACGTTTCATAATATAGCGATATAACTCAAAATTTACGTTTTTGGAGATTCCATCATGCACTTTCCCAAAAAAGTTGAAATTTTGAAATAATTCTGTATATATTATTAAACGTGCGATGTATCGAAACCGATTTCAAAAATATTATACGGTTAAAGTGATATCATCAAACACTATAAAATCGTATTAAAAGATTTAAAGTATTTTAATGAAACAAATTCACATTTCATTTATTACAATGCAGTCGTACTAACAGTAACCTAAAATTATTAAAAACAGCTTCAATGGACTCTATATGCTTTCGCTTAGGTATAATCAGATAATTTTTATGCGTTTTTTGTTAGACTGCCTTTGTACAAACTCTTTCAATTAGCGTTGCGCGTACATACAACTATGTACATATGTATGTTTACGAAATTATTATAAATATATACTTATGTGTATATACCTTAAATTTCTGTATTTTGTACATTTACGTTGATTAGCGCCAGTCAAAACTTATTCAAACTAAGCGCTACGTCGGCTTTGTGCAAACTACTACGTCAAATAATGACTAAACATGCAACTAGTCGAAAGCTAAACTACTACAAAACTAAATACATGTGTAACTTACATACGAATTATTATTATTTTATTTATGACGGTTTGCTGCATTGATAATGATCGCCGTGGAATTGATTTTGGGCATGCCATGTGTTTGTAGTTTTCTTTTGCTTATAATTATGTATATCCAATATATAATTGTTTTTTTCTTGTTATTATTTTCTACATTTCAGTCTATTGATCTAACAATCTTTTGCACTGTCATCATTTGTTGCACTGTCAGTATCTTTTGCTGCCTCCTTAGCGGCAGCGCGCTGATGAATACGCTCATGGCGACGCAGATCACCGAGCAAACGAAAGCATTTGGAACAAACTGTGCACTCGTAGGGCTTTTCACCTAAAATTAAAAAAGAAAAGAAATTCTTTATAAGCAGAAAGCTTATTTCACAGAATTTTGTCTCACTTACCAGTGTGAATTTTTCGATGACTTTGTAGGTAGTTACTCGCGCGAAATGCCTTATCACAGTAATCGCACTTGAAATTGCGTTCGCAGGTGTGTATGCGTCGATGCAACACCAATGAGTATTTGCGCGCAAATGCCTTGCCACAGTATTCACACTGATAATTCTTGTGCTCCGTGTGTTTGGATATGAAATGATACTTAAGATCGCCCCATTGCCGAAAGTCGCGTTGACAAACGTCGCATTTGAACGGCTTGTCGCCGGTGTGTGTACGCGTATGCGCCTTTAGCGCGCTCAGTGCATAGAATGATTTGCCGCACGTATCACACTTATGTGGACGCACGCCCGTGTGTGTACGACGATGATACTTGAGCGCATTGAACGAGTTGAAGTCACGTCCACACTTTGTGCAAATGTGTTTCCTTTCATTGCTGTTGCTGCCTTCCATGACGCTGTGAACGGGGCTAGGCGCATACGATTCCATGTCGTGATCATTTTCATCATAACTATCTTCATTGCCGTCAAAGTCTTGTGTATGAGGTTCTTCCTTGCAGATAAGTTCCTTTTCCGCTAGCAAATTGCGATCATCGATTGCGCCTTCTACATGCTGTAAGCTAACCGCGGGTAAATGTTCATTATCTATTGATGACTGCGTCCCAGCGTCTTCAGGTAGATCAAATTGCGGCACTCGCAGCGGCTCAAGCAAATTCGTTGGTGTTGTTGGTTCTTGTGGTGACTGGCAATGCAACTGTCGATCATCAGCATCTACGCTGGGCAAGCGTAGCGGAGGTAACGCGTCATTGTAGAAGTTGGTTCGATTGACTTCCGCTTCGTCGACATCATTATCGTCGTCTGGTGGTAACGCCAGCTGTATTTTTTCTCTTCTCTTATCTGACTTCTGGTATGAGAGTAATTTTTCTGCAGGCGGTAGTGGCGACATTTCCTTAGGAGGTGTACTTCTTGACAATGAACTGCCAGCCATCATAGGCATGGGAGGCAGAGGTCCAGCGAAGTTCACATCATTGAAAGGTTTATTTTTGTAGGTAAGGCTGCCATAGTTTTCGTTGGTGAACCTGTAAGCAAATCATATTGCTGGTTTAATAGCTCTCTATAAAGGTTAAATGCATGTATTACCAAGAACCGCGCATGCCATTGGATGTAATCAAATCAAGTGCATCGCAGGTCTCTTCGATCGATACCTTATCCACCACATTCCGTATGCCCTCCAGCATATCTTCACTATCGCTAAATTCCACCTCGACAGTGCGCTTTATTGGTGGGGTTGTTGCCTGCGCTACATAGCTCATACATTTACTCATACCCGTGGCGTTTAACATTTTCATTTCATTGCCATCGTCACTCGAATCCATGACATGCTGCATTGGGTTCTCCTCGTCTACGCTTGAAAAGTCAGGAAAGCTCAAGTGCACATCATTGAAAACATGGTCCACGTTTTCGTTGGGGGACTATGTGGAAAGAAAAACGTTTTTGATGTAAACCAGGAAATTAGGAAATTAAAATTATCGGTGTAGTAAGTATGTAGTAAGATGCAGAGGACTGCGAGATGTCAAATCCAATTAGGAGACACGCAAACTAAAAGTGCTAAAAGGCAACATTCGCATTCATTTGTGTTCCAGCTATCGCATACTTTTAGGCGCATACTTAATTTCACTCAGCAATCCTTGCATTCACCACTGCTCTGCAGCTCTGCAATATTATTCTTGATAACACTACGCCTCCGCTCACTTTCTTATCAACCGCACACATTTTCTGCGGCTCCAGATCCTCTAGTGACGTCTTCATCGCTGCCAATATCGTATCCGGCGTCGTGGGCTCATAATGCTGCTTCAGATGCGCAAAAAACTGCAACTGCGAGTCTGCTGTATGGCCGCAAATCTCGCAACTATATACTGCCACGTTCAGCCGTACTTCCTCCGGCAATTTGTGCACATCGCCTAAAGGCGGCGATAGCACATTTTGTGCGCCGCTCAGCGACACTCGTAGCTTGCGCGAAATACGTTTTTTATGCGGCAGCACTTTGCGTGCGTTGGATACATGACGGGCATACAACACATCACTATTATCGTTCATCAGATCCGCCGCATCATCCAAACTCACATTAGCATCGGCTAGCAGAAATTGTTGCACAGCAACATCCTCACCAGCCTGATTTACACCCTCCGTGTCATCGCAGTAATTCTTGCTACCACCACCAGCGAGAAAATCGCCATTTAAAGCCATATATTGCGCATGTTTTCTGTTGCTAAAGATTGCTGCGCTGTTGCTGCTGCCACTAGAACTACCTCCCATAACTAAAGGTAGAGGCGCCGCTGGTTGCGTTGGTGAATTTAGTGCATTCAATGTTGCTTCCGCCACGCCGTCCACCGTACTTACTGCCACATCATTTGGTGTGGGCCGGTAGTGGAAAATTGAGCTGGGAAAATGCAAATCGGGTGTAAGCGAAACTGAATCAGATACTTTGACATTGTAGCTGCTTCCTGCCCTGACTGCCGTAGTGGCAGCCGTGGTGTGTGTGCTCACATTGTTGCCGGGCACTGGCACCACAGTTTTATTTGGAAAGACCAAAGGCGTGCTTTCAATAAAATCGATTATGTAGTTGTTCGAGTCACGTATGTAGGTGGGTGCAAGGAGCGACTGCAAAGGAAGATCCTACAGATATAACGGTTAACAGGGGCTAAACAATGCTGACCCTCAACTTACATGGTCAATAAATCCGGGTTCTTTACGAGTCAGCGTCTGCTGTATTGGCGTTTGATCCATTGGCGATTCCTGCGGCTTCGAATCCCTCCTGCTGCTATCGCCCTGTCACGTTACGTGCATGAATGTATTAGCGTTTCCTCTTGCTTTGCGGAGGGCGCTCCAAATATTTATACACTTTTGTAAATCAATAAATCTAAATAATTTAGAAGAATTTTTTTTGTAAACCGTGCACGATAAGATAAATGTAAACAGCTGTTTACAGCCAAAACAGCTGTCAATCAAACCGAAAATTACCCAAAATAGAAAAGCGCTAACCGGTTTGGGACATTTATGCCCTGGCCAATGTTGCCGCTTCGCTTTTCAGTGGTGGCCAGTAAAAATTTTAGCGGTGGCTAAAAAAGTGGCTAAAAATTTTCATTTCAAACTATATTCACATTACAGCATAAATTACTTTTTTTCGATCAAATTACTTCACATAAAACAAGTGAGTTCACATTTTCTTTCATAGTTTCTATAGCACGTGTACGTACGAGTGTGTGGTTTATACATGATTTCAAAAAACAAATGGTTGCATAGATTTTGGCATTTTTTCAAATTTCCCTAAAACAGGGGCTAAAATAAATGCAAAAACTTTTTTTCTTCATTTGGTTCTTGTTATTTGCATATAATGTAAACAACACAAAAATTTGCAAACTTTAGCTTGAATTTTATATACATGAATATATTTTAGTACATACCTACAAATGTAGTTTGTAGTCTTATAGTCGGTACCAGTATCGCTCACGTATACGTCTACATCTAAAGCTGTTTTGACAAATATCTTTGAAAATATTAAAAAAAATAAAAAAGGAATACCTGAAAATGTGTGTTCATGTTTACTTGTACATTTTCTCAAGCAAAAAAAATCAAACTCGGCAACAACTTTGAATCTGGAGCGCTTTTCAACGTGAAATAGAAGTTATAATACATACATATGTACATTTTATTGCTGAATTGAGTTAGCAGTGCCATACTTTTTCAGATGGATGATGGAAAAATTTCGAATTTTGATCATTTAAAGAGGTGGCTAAAAAAGTGGCTGGTGGCAAAAATAAATTATGGCAAAAAAAGAAAGTGATGGCTATATCTAGCCACCAAATTTATAAAACGGCAACACTGGCACTGGCCTCAAACGGTTTGGGACAACTTTAATATTTACGCCCAGCAGATAATCGAACTAGTTGGTAGTAAGGGCGAAATTCACAGCGCGTAGTTAACTCAGATTCGGCAGTTACCTACACATTTTTGTACTAAAAACGGTTGTTTAGCCAAGATTAGAGGAAATCCTTTGAACTGCTACACAAAATATCTACGAGCGCAAGTATTCATTCTTTAAGAAACTTTGCAAATTTTTTAAATTTAGTTTTCTTTGTGGAACATATGACATCGGCGAAATATCCGGAATGAAAGCGGTTCGATAAGTATTTCTAATAGGTTCTTTCCCGTACAACTCGGACCGGATCCGGTAATTAGAGAGTAAGCGAAAAATTTCCTCTCACAAATGGAAAAACGTCCTCAAGTACGGGAACATAAGAAACCTAATTTGAGAAATAACTGATTCAAGTGGTTTTTGTTATAATTTAAAATCAATTACGAAATCAAAAACAATAAAAGTAACGATATCCCTCCCACCCATGAGATAGGGTAGTGACCCGCAGCGTGAATGGCTGAGTCTAGGTCAACGACGTCACAGGCATAGGCCGGTGAAGTTAACGCCTCTTCCACTTACAAGATAATCAGGTCACTGTAAATTACTGACGAATGTCGACAACTCAGATAATTCGATGGCCACCGTTAAAGACTATCTGGAAGAGAGGAAACCTCAGTGTCTTCTAGAAGCGCGGAGGGGCTGACGGTGTCAAACGCCGTTGACAAATCCGAGTCTAATAGCACTGTTCGCTCGCATGGGCGATTTCGGTTCAGGCCACGAGTTATCTGGCTGTTTATGGCGTTAAGTGCTGTTGTTGTGCTTTGCACTTTACGGAATCCGTGCTGATGCTTCGTTTTCCAGATATCTGGAACGATGAGAGTGGTCATGGAAAAATTGAGAATCTCGGTAAGATAATCTACTCCCGCAGGACCCAATATATTTAGCATCAGCATGCATATTCTGTCGGATGCAATGGCTTTGGAGACTTTCGTCTTCCCGATGGATACCTGAACCTCACCGCTGGTCAGAGCAAAAGACGTACTAGGTGTTGGCAGTTTGTGCAGCTTTCTAGTACCCCGAAGTCTGCTT